CATTCTATGGGTTTTGACGAATGCATAATGACATGTAGCCACCACTATAGTATCATACAGAGTAATTTCACTGCCCTAAAAATCTATCTATTCATTCCTCCCTCCCTCCATCTCCCCAAACCCCTGGAAACGACAATCTTTTTATTGTTTCTGTAGCTGTGCCTTTTCCGGAGTGTCATTTGGTTGGAATTGTACAGTTTGTAGCCTTTTCATACTGGCTTCTTTCATTTAGTAATATGTGTTTTTAAGTTTTTTCTGTCTTTCATGGCTTGATAAATCTTTTTTTTTTTACTGTACATATATTTTTTAGTATATGTGCTGCCAAAGCGAGCACAACTGCACATATATTTTTAAATTTACATATATGTACTGTTCGTTGCTTCTAAGAATGTTTAGGGCTTTAGCTTTTTAAAGTTACATAGTTATCAAAGGAATAAAGCCAACCACAAAATAAGAATTAACTCAAAAAGATACATACACCTTGCTATTAACAGCAACGTTATTTACAATTGCCAAGATATGGAAGCATCCTAAGTGCACATCAATAGTTGAATAGATAATGGAGATGCAGTGTGTGTGTATATATGTGTATGTGTGTGTATTTTATAGTTTTATTCATATATATATATATAAAAAGAAGGATATTTTGCCATTTGTGGCTCTTCATTCACTTTTTTTTTACTTCAAAAACCAGAATTTTATAACTGGCAGAGACATTTCCATTACATCAAAAACAACAAAACACCTAGAAATAAACTTAACCAAGGAGGTTACCTATACTCTGAAAACAGAAATGACACAAAAAAAAAATGGAAAGATTTCTTGTGCTCTTGGAGTAGAAGAATCAACACTATCAAAATGGCCACACTACCCAAAGCAATCCACAGATCCAACACAACCCCCATCAAAATACTCACAACATTCCTCACAGAACTAGAACAATTCCCAAATTTATAAGGAACCACAAAAGACCCTGAACAGCCAAAGCAATCTTTTGTAGGTCTCTCTTTTTTTTTTCTTTCTTCTTTTTGTTCTCTTTTCTTATGATTTGATGACTAGAGAAGGTCCTTTAACATTTGTTGTAAAGCTGGTTTGGTGGTGCTGAAATCTTTTAGCTTTTGTTTATCTGTGAAGCTTTTGATGTCTCCATCAAGTCTGAATGAGAGCCTTGCTGGATAGAGTATTCTTGGTTCTAAGTTTCCCCCTTGCATCACTTTAAATATATTGTGCCACTCCCTTCTGGCCTGTAGAGTTTCTGCTGAAAAATCAGCTGATAATCTTATGGGAGTTCCCTTGTATGTTATTCGTTGCTTTTCTCTTGCTGATTTTAATATTTTCTCTTTATCCTTAGTTGTTGTCAATTTGATGACTATGTGCCTTGGTGTGTTCCTCTTTGGGTTGATTCTGTGTGGTACTCTGTGTGCTTCCTGGACTTAGGTGTACTGTTTCCTTTCCCAATTTTGGGGAACTTTTCGGTTATTATCTCTCCAAAATTTTTCTCTAGGTCCTTTCTCTCTTCTCTTTCTGGGACCCCCATAATTAATGCAAATATTAGAGCACTTCATGTTGTCCCAGAGTTCTCTTAAGCTACCCTCATTTATTTTCATTCTTTTTTTTTCTGTTCTGCAAGAGTGATAGCCACCAATTTGTCTTCTAGCTGACTGATCCGTTCTTCTGCCTCTTAATCTATTCTTGCTTCCTTCTAGTGTGTTATTCATTTCAGTAATTTTATTCTTCAACTTTGTTTGGGTATTCTTTATATTTTCCTACTCTTTGCTAACAACTTCGCTCTGTGCATCTATACTCTTCTTCAGTTCTCTGAACATCTTGGCCATCATTACTTTAAATTCTTTCTTAGATAAACTGCCTATCTTCTTATCATTTATTTATTCTTCTGGGATTTTATCTTGTGCGTTGGCCTGGCAGATATTCCTTTGGTGCCTCATATCATCTATCTTTCTATGTGTTTGTGGATTCCTTCCACAGGCTTTGGGATTGCTGTTTTCTTATTTCTAGTATCTGCCCCTGGTGGATGAGGCTGGACTAGAGGCTTATGTGGGTTTCCTGGCAGGAGGAGCCAGTGCCTGCCCACTGTTGGGTGAAGCTTGGTCCTGGACCTCTGGTGGGTAGGGCTATGTCTAGAGGCCTTTGTGGCTTAGGAAGTCTTCTGATGGCTGTTGCTGTGTTCCCACCCTGTATGTTGTTTGGCCTGAAGCTTCCCTACAGGCTCTTGGGTGGGGCTAGGTCTTGGTGCTAATGATCCAATCAAGGTGTCAGCCTCCAGGAAAGCTTATGTAGATGGACACTCTTGGAATGTCTGCCACCAGCTTTTATGTCCCCTGAGTGAGCCACAGCCATCCCTCCACATCCCCAGGAGACCCTCTAAATCCAGCAGGCAGATCTGGCCCAGGTTCCTATGAAAACACGGCCTCTGCCCTTGGATGTGGTGCACATGAGTTTCTGTGGATGCTTCTCCAGTTAATAGAGTCTCCGTTTCCCCCAGTCCCGTGGGGCTCCTGGAGCCAAGCTCCCCGGCCTTCAAAACCAGATGTCCTGAGGTCTCCTTCTCTTCCCAATGCCAGGACCTGAGCTGGAGAGCCTGACGTGGGGCTTAGAGCTCTCACTCTTGTGGGACTTGTAGGATACGAAATTAATACACAGAAAACTGTTGCATTTCTATACACTAACAATGGATGATCAGAAAAAGAAATAAAGGAAACAATCTCATTTATATTGAATTACAAAGAATAAAATACCTAGGAATAAATCTAACTAAGGAGGCAAAAGACATGTACTCAGAAAACCAAAAGACACTGATGAAAGTAATCGAAGATGACACGTATAGGTGGAAAGATATACTGTGTTCATGGACTGGAAGAATTAATAGTTAAAATGGCCATATTACTCAAGGCAATATACAGGTTTAATGCAATCCCTATCAAAATATCCAGGGTATTTTTCACAGAACTAGAACAAATAATTTTAAAATTTGTATGGAAACACAAAAGACCCTGAACAGCCAGAACAGTCTTGCAAAAGAAGATCAGAACTGGAGGAATCACACTCCCTGACTTCAGTACAAAGCTGCTACAGTAATCAAAACAGTATAGTACTGGCACAAAAGTAGACACATATGTCAGTGGAACAAAATAGAGAGCCCAGAAATAAACTCACGCACTTATGGTCAACTAATCTATGACAAAAGAGGCAAAAATATACAATGGAGAAAAGACTGTCTGTTCAATAAGTGGTGCTAGAAAAACTGGACAGCTACATGTAAAAGAATGAAATTAGAACATTCTCTAACATCATATAAAAAATGCAAAATGCATTAAATACCTAAATGTAAGACCAGAAACCATGAAACTCCTAGAACATAGGCAGAACATTCTTGGAGATAAATTATAGCAATATTTTTTGGACCTATCACCAAAGGCAAAGGAAATAAAAACAAAAATAAACAAATGGGACCTAATTAAACTTAAAAGCTTTTGCACAGCAAAGGAAACCATTGACAAAACAAAAAGACAACCTACTGAATGGGAAAAAATATTTGCAAGTGACATGACCAATAAGAGGTTAATATCCAAAATATATAAACAACTCATACAACTCAATATCAAAAAAACTCACAAACCTGATCCAAAATGGGCAGAAGACCTGAATAGACATTTTTCCAAAGAGGACATACAGATGGTTAACAGATGCTCTACACTGCTAATCATCAGAGAAATGCAAATCAAAACCACAATGAGATATCACCTCTTACCTGTCAGAATGGCTATCATCAAAGAGACAACAAATAACAAGTGTTGGTGAGGATATGGAGAAAAGGGAACCCTCGCTGTTGGTGGGAATGTAAATTGGTGCAGCCACTGTGGAAAACAGTATGGAAATGCCTCAAAAAACTAAAAATACTTAACTACCATATGATCCAAAGAAAATGAAAACACCAATTTGAAAAGATATATGCAATATTCATAGCAGCATTATTTACAATAGTGAAATATAGAAGCAAGCTAAGTGTCCATCAACAAATGAATGGATAAAGAAGATATGGTATATATATATATACAATGGAATACTGCTCATGCATAAAAAAGAATGAAATTTTGCCATTTGCAACAACAAGGAGGGACCTGGAGGGTATTATGCTTAGTGAAATAAGTCAGAGAAAGACAAATACTGTATGTTATCACTTACATGTGGAATCTAAAAAAACCCAAAAGAATGAATATTTTTAAAAAACATAAAAAGACTCACAGATACAGAGAACAAACTAGTGGTTACCAATGGGGAGAGGGAATGGGGAAGGGGGAGGGGATTAAGAGGTACAAACTACTATGTATAAAATAAATAAGTACAATGCCATTTGCAGCACCATGGATGGACCTAGAGATCATCATTCTAAGTGAAGTAAGCCAGAAAGAGAAAAAAAAAACCACATATCACCCATATATGGTATCTTAAAAAAAAAAAGGGACACTATGAACTCATCTACAAAACAGAAACAGACTCGCAAACTTAGTAAACAATCTTATGGTTACTGGGGAAAGAGGGTGGGAGGGGATAAATTTGGCAGTTTGAGATGTACAAATGTTAGCCACTGTATATAAAAATAATTTTTTTAAAGTTTCTTTTGTATAGCACAGAGAACTATGTTCAATATCTTATAATAACTTTTAATGAAAAAAATATGAAAACGAATATATGTATGTATATGCATGACTGGGATGTTGTGCTATACACCAGAGATAGACACGTTGTAATTGTACTTCAATAAAAATTAATTAATTAATCAATCAAGTTAAAAATAAATAAGTACAAGAATATATTGTAAAACACAGGAAATATAGCCAATATTTTACAACTTTAAATGGAGTTATAATCTATAAAAATTTTGAATCACTATGTTATACACCTGAAACTAATATAATATTGTGAATCAACTATACCTTAATTTTTAAAAATTGTTAATAGTTGGCAAGGATGTTGGGAAACAGACCCTCATGTATACTGTTGGTGGGTTTATAAATTAATACATCCTCTTTGGAAGGCAATTTGGCAAAATCTATTAAAATTAATAATACACATATTTCTCCTAGTACTTACACATCTAGGAGTTATCCTGCTCATATACATATTGGCAAAGATGCATGAATAAACATATGCACTGCAGTAGTGTTGTAGTAACAAAAGACTAAAAACCATTTAAATATCTATCAATAGAGGATTTATTAATTACATTATGATATATCCATAAAATGGAAGTTAATTTTAAGAAAGTAGAATTCTACACAGCAAGGAAAAAGAACAAACTACTGATATATTCAACACAGATGAAGCTCACAGACAATGTTGAATGAAAGTCGGAAGCAAAGAGTACAAACTCTGTATGATTCCGTTTATATGAAATTCAAACACAGGCAAAACTAATCTATGACCATAGAAGTCAGAAAGTGGTTAATCTTGGGAGTGGATAATGACTGAGAGGGGGCTCATGGAGATAGCCTCTGCAGTGCTGGAAATGTTTTGTATTTTGCCCTAGGGGTTGGTTTTACAGACATATACATATGTAAAAATGTATACTTCATATTTGTACATTTTACTATGTTATACTTCAATCAATAAAAAAAAAGAAATGAAGTGGTATATATAATATACTGATACAGAGTGAATTTCAAGATATATTTTAAGTATGTGTGGAGATACATACATATCTTTATCTGTACCCGCATATATGGTGCACTGGCAGAAAGCAGAAGAAACAATGAGTAACTAAAACTCTACTGGGTAATTGCTGGAGCAGACTTTTGCTCTGAAGTCATCTGGTCCCTGGTGGCCTACAGCCTAAGTTTTAAAAGCCTCATGTTTACAGGTGGTATCTAATTAGAGTTCAGGCAAAGAACAGAGAAAATAGTGGAGCAGCAGTATTTGAAGAGTAATAGCTGAGAACTGATGAAAAATGTCAGTCTTCAAAACTCAGGAATCCCAAACAGGAAAAAGAAAACAAAGACAGAAATCCCCACCCAGACACATTGTAATGAAACTTCAGAACATCAAAGAGAAGATCTTAAAAAGACCAAGATACTCTGTGTCTACTTATAGAAGTATACAGCACTACGTATCACATATTCTTGCCCCCCAACAATAGAGGAGAAAAACCTAAATCTAATCAAGCATCTAGACTTAATCAATATTCAGGAAATACAAGGAATAGGGGAAAACCACCACAGGGATGCAATTACTAAAATCCATTTTATGTAAAGTGCTATAGGAAAACCATTCCGTTTTTTCAACAAATAAATCCTATGGGAGGATAAAAAAGGGAGAGAAGGAAGGGGCACCTATAGATTAATAGATTTAAGGAACATATCAACCAATTGCAGTGTATAGTCAGTATTTTTTAATGTTTTATTTATTTATTTATTGTTTGGTTTTTTGTTTTTGTTTTAGCAGGGAGATAATTAGGTTTGTTTGTTTGTTTGTTTGAAGGGAGGTACTGAGGATTGAACCCAGGACCTTGCGCATGCTAACTATGCTGTGTATCGCTGAGCTATACCCTCCCCCCTAATCTGTATTTGGATACCGATTCAAACAAACTAAAAATAAACACACACTTATGAGACAATCAGGAAAATTTGAACAATGATTGTACATTTGATGATATTAAAGAATTGTTAATTATTTAGAGGTGGTAGTTTTGTTGTAATGTTTATGAAAAGTCCTTATGTTTTAGAGATATATACCAAAATAGTTATGGATGAGATAAAATAACACGATGTCCGATATTTGCTTCAGAATAAACTTGATGTGTGGGTAGGGGAGCAGGGATTAGTGGAATATAGATGAAACAAGATTGGCCATGAGTTAATAATCACTGAAGCTAGGTGACAGGTACGTGGGAATTCAGTATACTATTTTCTTTACTCTTGTATGTTTGAAATTTTCTATAATGAAAGCAGGGGGAAAAAACCCAAAAGAAAAGACAGATTGATTACCTATAAAGAAATGGCTGAAAGCTGATCTATCAACAAAAAAAAATCAGGATATAGAATCGTGTTTATAGCATGCCACTATTTGTATAAAAATAACATATTCACATATATGCTTATATTTGCATTGATTTATCCCTGGTAGTTCACGTAAAAATTGCTACTAGGAATTGCCTCTCAGTAAGGGAACTACAAAACTGGGGAATACAAATGGGCAACTCTTCACATAACCTTTGGCACTATTTGAATTTTTTATCCTGTGCTTGTATACCTTAAAGATATTTTCTCAGTAGGCTAGGGACAGGAGAATTTTATAACTCGATAAAGAACATAGAAAAAAACTGCAATCATCATACTCAATAGAGAAATACTAGTGGCATTCACCTTAAAGTCAGAACAAAAACAAGAATATTCACCTGATTTCACAACTGTTACTGAACATTGCCCTGCAGGTTCTAGTCAAAACATTAAGACAAAAGAAAATGAAAGTTATAAATGTTGTAAAGGAAGAGCCATAAAATGCCCTTGTTTATATATGATATATAGACAGTCTAAGAGAATGAACTGAGATACTATTAAAATTAAACAGAGACAGAGTTTAATTTTTAAATTAGTAACTTCTCTCTATAAAAACAGTATCCAATTAGAACACAGAACGGGAGAAAAAAGTCCCATTCACAGCAGTGAAAATAAATTATAGGAATAAACCTAACAAGAACCATACAAAATATTTACATGAATAAAATTACAAAACACTACTGAAGACTGTAAGTATGAAGATTTGACAAATGGATAGATGTACAATATTTCTGAATAAGAAGATTCATAATTGAAAACAAATGTTCAAATAAGTATAAATTCCTATAATAATCTCATTAGGATTTGGGAGGAAAGGGTAGGAGTACTAAATAAATTGGTTCTGAAGTTCACCTGGAAGGACATATAAAAAGAGCCAAAAAAACTTAAAAGATAGAAATGAAGGAAGACTTATTTAATAGATTATCAAGTTATTATATAAAGCTGTGATATGTTTCAAGAATAGATAAATATATCAATAGAACTGAACAGAGAGGCAGTTACATGTGAGAATTTAGTATATGACAAACATAGCATTTCAAATCCCTTCTGAGGCACTACTAAAAGTATACTAAAATAATATATAAAATATGTACAAACCCCAAAGGACAAAAAGTTCTGGGGGTTCTCTAGATGCAGGAAAGCCATTTGAGAAATGGTAACTGAAATAGTAGTTGGGAAGAAATTTTGGTATAGTACAGAGAAGGATACAGATGAGAAGGTGACATTTTACCAATAAAACCATGGAAAGGCTCCAAGATCCAAGACATCAGGTACAGCAGAAGATCGGCATGACATATGGGGCTGAAGACAGAGTTTAACTGAAATTCTGTACATGAATATAGTCATCACCCCTTATCCGCAGGGAATATTTTCCGAGACCCCTAGTGGATGCCTGAAATCACGGATAGTACCAAACAAACCCTATATACATATACTATGCTTTTTTCCTATACATACATATCTATGATAAAGTTTAATTTATAAATTAGGCACAGTAAGAAAATATCTGAATTGTCAGCATCTACTCTTGCACTTTGGGGCCATTATTAAGCAAAAGGCTTACTTGGACACGAGCACTGCGACACTGAGACAGTTGGTCTGATAACCTCCAGGATAGCTACTAGTGACCAATGGGGGGGTAGTGTATACAGCATGGATAAGCTGGACAAAGGGAAACTGAAACCGTGGACAGTGAAACCATGGATAAGGGGGACCACTGTATTAAGTAAAAATATGCTTACCCTTTCCTGTAACCAGAGGAAATACAAGATAAAAACGAGATACCATTATTTGCACATCTGGTTGGTAAAAATTATTTTTTAATTGATAACATAAAGTATTGATGAGTGTATTGGGGAAACTGGTACCTCATACCCTGTTGGGTGGCCATGTAAAATTGAAACAGCCTTTGTGGCGGGAAATTGAGCAATATCTATTAACATTTTAGATGTATAAGGATGTATATACCTTCTTCCCAGCAATCCCACTTCTAGGAATCTATCCTCAAGAAATATTAGCACAAATATTCAAAGATACCTGTACAATGATTTTCATTGCTGCATAATTTGTAATAACAGAAAATTGGAAACAACCTAACTGCCCACCAATAAGGAAATAGATAAATAAATCATGGCATATCCATACAATAAAGTACTATGCAGCACAAGCAAGAACGTCAGAGATCTATATACATTGACATGGAAATATCTTCAAGGACTTTATCTTCAGTAAAGTCATATGCTTAATGATTAAGTAAGTTATAGAAAAATATTATAGAATGATTCCAAATTGGCCAAAAAGAAAAAACAAACTTCTCCATATGTATGTAGGTATCTGCTCAAACTTAGTGTCTCTACATGTTATATGCCTATCTCTGTTTGTAAATGCATAGAAAACGTCTGTAAGGATACACACCAAACAGCTAACAGTGATTTTCTCTGAAGAACAAATTTAAGGGTTCAAAATATTGTATTTTCCATTTCATTCACTTCTGCAAGTTTTTTGTTTCTTAAAGATGAAGGAAAATCATACCAATAAGTTGAATGTTTAAGTGTCAGATTGATGCAGATAATACTCAAATCTATCTTCAGTGCCGACTTGTCTCATGAACTCCAGTTTTGCATTGACAATTAACTGCCTGCCAGTATTTCCATTTGTATGCTTTGCCATCATTTCAAACTCATACCTAAAATAAAGTTCACTATGAGAATATTCAAATAATATTCGTTCTAGTTCCTGGTTTTCCTATTTCTGTTAAAAGCACTAGCCTTCTACCTGTTACTTAAGCTTGAAGCCTTGGAGTGGTTATCTTATACCCATCCCTCCCCTGTTAGAAGAAAAAAATCAAGTCCAAGGTTTTTTTTATTCTTTTTAAATAATATCTTACATGTCTCTTTCCTGTCTTTCTTTGCCACCCAAATTCAGGCCCTTCATTCAACAAACACTTATTGAGTGCATATTATGTATGTGCTAGGCAGTTTTAGGTGCTGGGAATTGTGCAGGAAGACCTATATGCTAGTGAAATAATATACAAGTAAAAAATTATTATGTAATAATGTTGTTAGCATTTATAATGCTTATCCTGTGCCAGGCACTGTGATAAATTCTTTAGATATGTTAATTCATTTAATACTCCCAATGACCCCATGATACAGGCATTATTAACACTATTCTGTAGTTGGGGAAACTGAGGTCCATACCTCTTGAGTAGTTTAAAGTCAGAGAGTTAATAAGTAGTCAAGATTTGAACCCAGGCAGCCTGATGGTATAGTTTGTCCTCTTAACTGTTATGCTATATTGCTTCTCATGTAAGGAAACCTCAGTTGATGAAAGGGCTTTGGAGAAAATCAAACAGGGTAATATGATAGTAACTTGGATAGTTAGGTGCCAATTTGGAGAAGATGGTCAAGAAAGGCCTCTCTGAGAGGTGATTTGTTTATGGAAGGACTCAAGTTTGACCTGTAAAGTTGCTCACTCTGCATTTTGCTAATTGCATAGGCATCGTACAGTTTCTATGTCTGTATTTCCTGCAATTGGCAGCTGGACCCAAAGGCTAGATCAAACTCAGGCTCCATCCCTTTTGTATGACTATAGGATAGACATAATGTCTGATGTCTTTTTATAATCTGAGAAGCTGTTGATGCTTACTACCTCTATCTATTTATTGTGGATTGCAAAATGGTGATATTCTACCTTTATTTCTTTTTATTCATTGTACTAGTTTTGGAAAAAGACATATCCCCTAATCTACTATTTTGTTACCTAGTTTATCTAGGAAAGGCAGGATAAGTGCTTGCTTCTCTCCCTTCATTGATGAATTTTTGAGATTGTGAATTGTTTCCATATCATGAGTGGTGATATTTGAGCTGAGACGTGAATGACAAAAAAGAGCCAGCTACTCAAAGACCTGGAGGAAGACTATTCCCGGCAGGGGGAGCAGATAGTACACAGGCACTGAGGAAGGAGTGAACTGCTTAAGTTTAAGGAACACAGAAGACCAGCAATGGCCACATTATTTTTACTCCTACCTTTGTTATGGACTGAATGTTTGTGTCCCCCTAAAATTCATACATCGAAATGCCATCCCCCCATGTGATGGTATTAGGAGGTGGGGCTTTGGGAAGGTAATTAGGATTGGATGAGGTCACGAATGGGACTAGTGCCCTTCTAAGAGTCATGAGAGAGTTTGTGCTTCCTCTCTCTGCTCTCCACCTGGTAGAGGTCCCTTGCCAGAACTCGACTCTGCTGGCACCCTGATCTCAGACTTCCAGCCTCCAGAACTGTGAGAAATAAATTTCTGTTGTTTATAAGCTACCCAGTCTATGGTACTTTGCTCACAGCAGCCTGAACTGACTAAGACATATCTCTTAAATCTATTATTCTCTCCTCCATTCTTATTAACCCACACCCACTTAGTCTGGGGTCTCATCTTTCTCCCCTGGCCCACTGCAATTCTCTTCAATTGGGTGCGCTGCCTCCAAGCCTCTATCTCTTCCACCCTAGTCAATTAACTTCTTACTTACAAAAAGCTTTCAATTCGGTGTATAATTTTTTTGGTGAGAATGTATCCATAATTTTATTAATGGATGTTATTGGCAAAAGAAGATCGATTTAATGGAGGGAGGTGTTTGCTAGAAAGTATTGCTGGACATCAGAGAGCACAGGCTTTGTAGTTAAATCTGGATTTGAGTCCCAGCTCTGACGCCTGACAGCTGTGTGACCTAGGGAAAACTATGTAACCTCCCTGAAGCTCAGTTTCCTCATCTATTAAAAAAAATAATCCTTTAATACACTGTTGTGAGAATTAAGTGAAAATATATATCCTCATTTGAGATATATGTACATATAATATAGAAATATAGATCAGAAAATATGTGTATGTATACACATATTTTATTACAGTGCTTAGATCACAGTAAAGGTTTAATAAAGAGTAGTTTAATTTTTGTATTCCCCTTCCCACCATGTATCTTGCAGAAGTTCTAGTTTCGGTGATGAATTCCACCTGTTTAAACCTCAGTCATTGCTAAGAGCTGTCCTAGAGCCATCTGAGAAGATCCAAAACCTAAGGACCCAACTGGGATCTTAGAAGA